CCTATTGTTTAATGAATGATCAATAGGAGAGCTACCAAATTACCAATATACAATAAGAATATATAATAAACAACTAAGTGGGAAATTTATATTTAAAATTTTTGGAAGTATTATGAATCATGATCAATGGGATCCTGGGTCTTGCTCCCTGCCAGAGATGCACGACGCATCTTCTGCAGCAAGATTTGTTCAGACGAATTGACAATTTCCAACATGAAATTGCCCTAGTTTGACTAAATAAAACAAATCCCATGTATCTCTAGCTGCCTCTAGATAATGGCCCTAGTTCTGAATAAATGCTCATCATGACTTGGCCTCCATGGAATTGGACCTTATCCCATCCAAGACTCCATAACAACTCCAGTTTTTTTTTTTAAAAAAAACAACAGCAGCAGTTTTTCCAACTATTCCTCACGCTAGCTCTGACCCAGACGGCAATTGCATATCCAAATGTTAACAAGGGAAACACACAACTCGATTAGAGTTCCAACTAACCAGATGAACCTACCACAGTAATCAACTAATGCGATGCACGAGTTATTTTCAAGAAATAAGGTTTGCTAGCTAATCACAGGTGAGTTAAGAGCAACGCTTCATCTTCCATTCATAACCGTGAAAAAAGAGAAATGCCAAAAGCGTATGGGATAATTAGTACTGCCTGTATAAGCCGTGTAACCATCAAATCAAAGAGTGATCAATTTCTGTTCTGATACACTCAAACTGGTCTTTACACTTGTGTGCTAACTGCAACATAGCTTGTGATTGTAAGAAACTCCAGATCAATATTGATGGTATCTCATATTTCATTTAGCAGAACAATCCCACGCCTGCAAAATGATAAGAACCAAGAACTCTTGAATCCAATAACACGAGACATAAGAACCATTTAGTCAATATCCCTCTGAAACAATCAGTCATCGTTTTAATTAACTCAACCTTATAATTATTGGCCCGGATAATCTAGCTCGGAATCTTCTCATCCCAAAGCCTTGACACCTTGCTGGCAAGCAACCAAAATATGGTGATTGCTCAACACAAATTGATCCGAACCAAAAGCTACCATCTTCTACCAATCTGTTCAACATCCACAAGCACATCCCTGTCCCGAATCAATGGCAGAGTCACGCTCCTTGGTTTCAATGTTGGTAGTATAATCCCCTTTTTTTCTGCACTCTCCCTTTTTCTTCGGCTAGACTAAGTGCCTCTGATAACTTGTTAAAGTCAAAGGATGCTTTGTCTGTGTATTCTGAAACATCAAGGGCATTCTTTTAGGTTGTGATCAGATCATGAACTGGGTCCTTTTTCGGATTCCGGCTACGATGTGACAGGTAGCGATGGATCACTTGCTAATCTATATCAAAGAAAATCAATTACAAAAGGATTGAATTGTTAATTAATTAGTTAGTTTAAGAGGTAGCAAAACTCTTTGTTTTTTCTAAATAAAAATGTTGTAGGATATATTTTTTAAAATAATTTTTATTTAGAAATATATTGAAATAATATATTTTTTTAATTTTTTAAAAATATTTTTAACATTATTATATTAAATATGATCTAAATATATATATATATATATAAATAATTTAAATATTTTTTTAAACTTTCATAAAAATACAATTCCAAATATCACTGTGTATTTTCAATTATTCGGACCGGTCCAGATCCTAATTTGATTTGATAGAATTATAGTGATTGATTTACTAGATGGGCTGGTATAGCCTGTCAATGCAACAAATAACGCGGAAGCCCTCAGTCCCACAGTACTTCTTTGGGCCGAAACATTTTTATGCCTTTTTCCCCCATCGTCGTGGTCTTGCTGATGTTTTCCTATTGAAAAAACAAAATATATAGATTTTGGTTTTCAACAGGAGAGACAAAATTGATTAACGAAGTGGTTATTATTGTATTCTTACGGTCAGCTACGGTCCGCATACAGACACGGTGACAGTGACATGCAACCCACATCTGACTCACAGAATAAATTATATAATGCACTTCATAGTTTTTTTTTTAATCTAAATGGATGGCGAGAAATAAGGTAGAATTACATCCATATTTAAAATGACCTCACTGCATATATATATATATATATATATATAGGACGAAACTGCAAAAAGAGGTGTCGTTGTCATAAAATAGTTTTAATTCTTTTTGCTTTTAAACTGTCACAACTCTGTTGATCTTTTCCACTGCTTTCTGGGTCTCCTTTTGACTCCATCAAATTAACTAACCTCTAACCGAGCAACCTGCTCTCAAGGAGTTGAATGGCCCCAGTCTGGCTAATATACATGTCATGACTTGCCGCACCAGCCAGAGTCAAAACGTGTAAATAGTTTTGATAAATAATATTTATTTTAATATATTTTTAATTTAAAAATCAATCGCTATAATAACGTTAACCCGTAATAAATCCTACCTACTAACACCCCAAAAGAATACAACCTACTAGGCTAATACTATAAAGTGTTTTCTTGGTTGGTTCTTGTAATTAGAATCAACCAACTCCCATGGGATTCGTTTATATTTTGAGTGCTAGCCCTACAGCTATAATATAGATTGCCACTTCTAAATATTGCATTTATCATATCGTTCACCTCCATCTGCGCACTCACCCTTATTCTTTAAGAGCATCGAAGATTTCCCTATAATATTTTTGTTGTCTTTCGAATGCAATAATTGAGTTTCTGATTTATTTGGAAAGGCTACAAAGAAGGCACGGGCTCTCAGTTTGTGAAGGCTTACCACTAAAATGTGTCGGCTCAAAGCATCACAAACAATTTAAAAGGGTGCGTAAAGGCAGCATGATATACAGGAGATTACTTTATAAGAATTAAATGGAGTAGGAATTAGGAAAGTCTGGAAGACATGTCGTAAAGTTACTTTGAAGGTCATATTGCCGCGGCAGCAGCTGATCTCAGGAAATAGGACTCATTCATGCAATGATTGTGCCCCTAAGAAGAACAATATTGCGGTAGGAACAAGACATCACAGTGAACTCTTTGAGTGGAAGCATTCTCTGTGGAGAAAGATCAGTGGCAGTGAACTTGTTGGCAATATATCTAAAGTGACCAGACAGCGGCGAGATACCAAATTAAAGTCTGAAATTAATCATTCCGAAACGCCAAAAGAAAAGACACTTCACCTTCGAGTATAATAGTTTTAAAAAAAGGAAAAGGAAAAGGAAAAGGGGAGACACCTGTTATCTTATTCTTTTAAATATATTATGTTAGTAAAGGGAAAGCAAGATATCTTTGTTGAGATTTAAAATGATAACTTTCTCCATTGATTTTTTGAAATTACATATAACAAATATGCTAGTGTTTTACATAATTTTATTTCATTTTTTTTAATATCATTGATTTTGTTGAAATGATGTGTACTCACGTGTCTGTGTGTGTTCACCCCATTCATTTTTTTTTTAATTTAAGAATTACTTTAATAAAAATGTGTTCATCAATTATTTAATATAAATAAAATCAACTTATTTAAATATTTTTAATAAAGTACTTATTGTCCATTTATATTTAAATAACATAGCAGTAGAATTTAATTAAATATCGTTTAGCTATTTTAAATATTTATAAACACAGCATATTAATCCATTTTTATCTCACAGTGATAACACAACAGGAACATCACATCGGTATCAAAGTTTGTGTGAAGCTTGGACAGCTCCCAAGTAATCAGCGAAAAAGAAGCGGCATCCAACTTCATTTCTTCTGTTGCTACTACTTTCATCACTATATTTTCTGTAGGCTTCTAATAATTTCAAGGTGTGTTAAGAATGCGTTTAGGAAAAAAAGGAGGATGCTTTTTAAAATTATTTTTGATATAAAAAATATTAAATTAATATTTTTTTATTTTAATGTGTAAATATAAAAAATAAATAATTTATTTTTGATATATCTATAAACAAAAAACTATTTTAAACACTATAACTTCAAGCACGAATTAGAATTTGTTTGAGTTAGTAATAGAAATTATTTTTTAAAATATTTTTTATTTGAAAATATATTAAAATAATATTTTATTTTATTTTTTATATTGACATATCAAAATTAAAAAAAACATTAAAAATTTTCAAAAAATAATGAAACGATAGTCCCCACTGCACCAAACAATCCCTAGGGTAGTGAAAGTGCCACAATGATTCATGTTTGTATTTTTGCTATCTTTATGCACGCTTTTATAATTGGGTTTAAATGAAACGATGTTTATGAAAATTTGATATTTGATATTTTAAAATTATTTTAATGTGTTGATATTAAAAAAATAAAAGTAATAATATATTTTCTAATAAAAAATATTTTAAAAAATAACAACTTTTAAACTCTCAAACACCATAAAAAAAAAAAAACAGTATTATTTTATCTTAAATTGTCTACTTCGCTAAGCATTGACAAATTTAAACAAATTCCAAACATAGAATAACTGCACAAGTGAAGAGTCATCTTCTCTAGAGCAATCACTGGTGATAATTACATGCTGCCTGACAATATTGATTGATTTCCAATCTTCTTGTAAATTTTGTGATACTTAAAACTCGTATGGCAACGTGATTGGACACGTATTTGTCAAGAGTTTAAAATTTTATTTATTTAAAATTATTTTTTAGTATTTTTAAATTTTTTTATGTGTTATATTAAAAATAAATTTAAAAAATAAAAAATATTATTTTCATATACTAAAAAAAAACATTTAGAAAACAATTATTATCACTGCCCTAAATACTAACTTAACATCGACTGCTTGCTACCGATGCGTCTTGGCTTCTTACGTTGTAATGGAAAGACTTTAAAAGGGTTATGTTTTTTTGGACTATATCACCATCATGGATTCGTGACTGTATTTTTTTAATACCATCTCTTTTAAACAAAATGGAAAGACGAACTGCTCTAATTATCTTGGATTTTTCTTTTCAGGGCTCATTTGCTATTATTTGTGTTTTCTGTATTTTTAATTTGATGTTTTTAATTTATTGAATAACAATTTGTTTTTTTGTTTTCCCAATGCTCGAATCACTTAGTTCACAATTTAGCAAGTTGAACTCGACCCAGCTGAACCCATCGTGACCTTGGTTTGACTCTTACACCCTCCACGGCCAGGGCGTTCAACTTCAGCCTGAACCCTAGGTCCTCCCGACCGTGGCCCAACCCGTGCTCCATTCCCGTTTAACCATTGGCAGTCTCATGTTGCCCTATCTTTCTCTTGTTACCGTTGAAGCACACAGGAGTCCAAAAAGCTAAGCAATGAAAGAGTAGAGAAAATTCATCCTCCGTCAGAGTAGTATAAAAAAAAGCAAGTGAAAACAGCAGAAAAGTGCAGCAAACCAAACTCAGCCATTACCTTACTCCACACCCACACAATACCTTCCTCCCAAGACAACCAAGGCACAATCCTCCCTCCCAAGAAAACAAAAGCACTAAAATAGCCGTATTACCATTAGTACACCTCAGAATTCTCCATCTTTTCCTCTCTGTTTTTCTTTCCTCGAGAAAGTTAGAAGAAGGGAATTCAATTCCATTCCCTTCTTACAAACAAAGCCATAAACAAAAGAAAGAAATAATTCAATTCTATTGTTTACAATTTTCCCATTTTGTCATGACTGAAACCATGGACACTACAACCCCAACAACACCAAAACAACCACAAATTTCTGAAATGTTTTCAAAATTTGCTCTAGCTTTCAAGACCAAAACTTTCGAATTCTTCGCCGATGAAATTTCTGACGCCGACGAAGGCTTCTCCCTCCTTGACTCTGCCGAGGATTTTATCCCTGACCAGAAAGTCATAATCTTGAAACCTGACCAACCCTTGAATCAAAATCAAGAATTTTTGGCACTGCAAGAGTTGACAGTGAAAAAGAGTGAGACCCAGATCAAGCATTTAAATACCCAGCTGGCTAATACTTTGATTTCTTCAGTTTTTGCTAAAGTTTCTTCATTTGAAGCTTCTTATTTGCAGTTACAAATTGCACACGTTCCTTTTAATGAAGAGAACATTAAAGTAGCTGATAAGGCTTCAGTTTCAGTTCTTCAAAGGTTGTCTGATTTGAAGCAAGTTTATAGGGATATGTGTAAGAATCCTGATTCTGGTGATGATTTGCCAATTGGATCTTCCTTGGAAGCTCAAGTAGAAGAGAATCAAAGCAAGTTGAGAATTTTGGGGACTGTTTCTAATAGTTTGCAAGCAGAGATTGATAAAAAAGATTGCGAGGTTTCGGCTTTGAAGAAGAAATTGATTGAGGTACAAAGGTCCAATTCTTTATTTTCTAAGAGGTTGCGCAGTAGTTTGAATTTGAATTCTGAGGTCTTGTTGACTGTTAAGGTTTTTGATTCTGTGCTAAATGATGCTTGTAGAACAATGCATAAGTTTACTAGGATATTGGTTGATTTGATGAGAAAAGCTGGTTGGGATTTGGATTTGGCGGCCAATTCTGTTCATTCTGATGTTGGTTATGTGAAAAGAGGGCATAATCGTTACGCATTTTTGTCTTATGTTTGTTTGGGGATGTTTAAAGGTTTTGATTTAGAAGGGTTTGGTTTGGAGAGTGACGGTGAGATTTTATGCAACGGGCATGAGTCTGTTTCGGCTAAGAGTAATAGTGCGTTGAAGCAATTACTTGAGCATGTATCTAGCAATCCTATGGAGTTGCTAAGTAGGAATCCTACGAGTGAATTTTTGAGATTTTGTGAAAAGAAGTATCAAGAGCTTGTAAACCCAACAATGGAATCCTCGATTTTCAGCAATTTCGATCAAAATGAATTAGTGTTGAATTCATGGAGGTCACTTGGTATGTTCTATGAGTCATTTGTTAACATGGCTAGTTCTGTATGGACACTTCATAAGCTGGCGTTTTCTTTTGATCCCGTGGTTGATATTTTTCAAGTGGAAAGAGGGGTTGATTTTTCAATGGTGTATATGGAAGATGTCATGAGGAGATGCACCATGCCAGGTAAAACCAGGCTGAAGGTTGGGTTCACAGTGGTTCCAGGATTTAAAATCGGAAGAACAGTTATCCAATCTCAGGTTTATTTATGTGGCTCAACATGTACAGAATAATTGTTTACGTTTTCTGCCAAAGCAAAGCAATTTATGTCTTGCTTGGAATCTCTGCACTAAATTTGAACATCAAAGGCTTGGACTCAAAACTACAGTGGCACAAGAATCCGAAGGTAACAGGTCAGGGTTTTAATGCATACACCAGTTAAATATGCTCAAGGAGGAATTGGAAATATATATGCTCAGACGAACCAGCTATTTATTGTGCTGTTTCACCTGGCATTAAGAGCAACTATGGCATGCAGCTTTTGGCTATCTTTTGATGTGCAGTTATAGGATTATACTTACAGTTAGGTTGTGAATTTACACACACCCCTTTTCATTTTTCTTTCCTTGCTTCAAGTCCCGTGTAAAAATGGCTGTAAATGTATGTTTTTAACTTTTCTGTTTTGGTAATGATTGCAAGCTCTCTTCTGACTCACACTACACATAGTGCATCTGGCCTTAGCCTCTTTAGATACATGCAAATTTACTTGGAATGGAACGTTGAGCTGTAACATGGTTCTGTTCATCATAAATTGTGTGTTGAAGCTATTTTTGTCTAGTGCCTGAGAGCGTACTTCTTATTAAGCCAATGGAGCGGGCAATATTCCATTTCCTTTTTATCCAAGTACTTCGGAGTTCTTTTAGGTTTTGGATGGATAACTTTCATCCATTTTGTCTTCCTTTTGGCTGTTTAGAATATCTGCATTATTTATTATGTGAAGCAATTAGATTGAGAATCCACATGTCCATAACACATCTTCTGACTTGACCAATTGCATTTTAGCTTTTGCCTATGTTTTGGTTGTTTGATTTTATGCTTAGTTTGATGTGTCTGAACTTAAAGATTTTTCCCTCTTAACTCCACGTTGTATGTCAAAAAGAATGTTTTAGATAGAGTATCTTACAGGGTTGGCTTCTTATTAGTTGCTGCGCTGATTTAGCTGTTCCTTGGCTAGCGTGTTAATGTACTACATCTTTTGGGTTTTTATGTTGCCATTTGGGGTGATGGCCGAAATTATGAGTTCTTCTCTGCTGAATAATGTGTTAATGATTTTATTTTTTGGAATCATTGGTCTTTAAATGACAAGGGAGTATAGACTTCCAGTTAGGCAATTGCATTGTTCAATGAATTAATCTCATTATTGATAGAGGCATCAGGAATGGGGGACTGTCAGCATTTGTTTATTCTGTTTTGGTGCTTATATGTGCAAGTTTGTGTCGGTGCTCAAGTTTGTTTTTGTCATGTCTGTAAAGTTGGTTTTGTGATGGGTTCTTCACTAATGAAGTTGTAAAAACACACCCTTGGTGTCTTTTTTCTTCTAGTCTTTTGTATTGAAATGAACAGTGGTGCTTAGGCCTCCTAATTAGGTCAATCAATTATTCATTCAATGATTTGTTACTCAAACTATCAGTAAATGGTTATCTGTTTTGTTTGCTTACACGCACATGTTTATTTAGTGCAGATGACATGGTATCACACAGCATCCCTCTCCCCCACTCCGCTTTCCCTTTTATGCTGTTTCTCCACCTGTTCTTGTTGCTTAACTATTCCTATACTGTTGTTTGTTCGAATGGATTAGGAGCAGGGTTTATGTTTCTGTAAAACAGTAGAATAGTGGTAATAAATCATTGTGGAATATCTAGGTTTACTCTTCCATGGTTCTGCAGTTCCACTAGGGTTGAACATAATGTACCATAGAAGTCTGTTGGTTAATAATCAACTATCCTAGGCGCCCCATGAGGAGTGCAGTTCTCTGGGCATCCTTTCTCTTTGAACATTAGTTCAGGTTAGGTTACTGTTGTTATACAGCTTGTTGAACAGATATACTTCCAGTAATCTGTAATTAGTCGTCCATTTTTTTTACTGCAAGATTAAACTGGGAAAATTAATCAGTATTCATTATATAGGACACCAGACACCATTATATGGAAACCTCGTCTGGTTTTTGTTGCATGCTTCGATTGTGCCCTATTTAATTACTCCTTTTTTGGCTCCTTGATCCTGTTCTACTTGCTATGGATGCTTCATTTTAGAAATCCAGTTATGAAATCTGTATCAGCAACAAGGACAAGCAACGAAGTACAAATTGTTTTCACTAAAATAAAGCTCAGCTTTATGGATCATGTGCCTTTAAACATGTCTTATTTCGTACGGAAGGAGGATTCTTAAACTCTCTTTTATGGAGAAGGAGATGTATTATCGGTGAATAAATTTTTGCTTACCATCAGTGGTTGCGAAGATGGTAATTCGTTGAAGGGGGGAAATGGTGTTTGTGCCAGTGTTATCCATGCTTTTTGTCATTGTGGCTCGTCGCTTTTTGTGTCATAAACGTAATTGTTGTAAATGTTGGAGATGAATAATGCCATTAATGTAAAAAATAGTACTGCTCTGCATATAAAAAGTTGCCAGTAAATGAAAAACTTATGTGCGTGACTATTAAAACCCGAAAAAAATACATAAAGAGTGTGTGTCAAGCCAGGATTTTGACAGACCAGGGTTGGGTGTTTCAGGTTAAAATTCCAATCCAGCCCAAATGGCTGGAAGAGATCCTTTGTGACAGCCGTTTGGCCCTGAATTTTATTTTATTTTATTTTGTGTGTGTTATCAAATGGGTTTATCTAATGAATGCAATGCGTTGGGGTTCTTCTGGAATGATAAACAACAACGATTTTATTTATTACCGCTAAAGGGATCTGGATATCTTCTGGGAACAATCAGTATTTGCTTTTTTAACATCACTTTCTGCAAGCTACCATCACCATCGATGTTTTTGTTCGTTTCTAGAACAGAGATTCTCCTTACCAGTCACTTTTTTATTGGTCCAGCCTTCATGTGAGTTTAATTATTAATGAAAAGGTAGTCTTTGTTAGCCTTCTCATAAGATTCGGTTTACAAGTCAACTATTTGAATTTTGAATCCAATAAAGTTTCATTGTGTGCAAATATTTTCTTTTTCTTGTAAGTTCTCTTGTGTAATAATTCATCTCATTGGAATTAGAGTTGTAAATCATGATTAACATTTATTTTTTGAATATTAAGTTGTATAAACATTTCCTTTTTCTTGTAAGTTCTCTTGTGTAACCATTCACCTCATTGGAATTAGAGTTGTAAATCATGAATAACATTTATTTTTTGAATATTAAGTTGTAATTATACGAGGGTGTTGTGAAATTTTATGGTGTTTGGAAAGTAACTAATGACATCCTATTAATTATTTTTTAAGTTTATTATTTTAAAAAATAGATAAAACTAAAAAAGAAAAATTCAAAGTGAGAATATTCTTATAATTTTTGGTAAGTTATTAATTTCATATTCTTTTTTCTTTTTGTATTTATCTTTTTCTTCAAGTTGAGCCTACAAAATAACTAATAGTATTTCATCAGTAACTCCTCTAAATACCATAAAATTTTTTGTGGAGTTTTTTTCTTTCAAATCTTTGTTTTTTTTTTTTTAATCCAACCATAAACCAACATGTAACCCTCCCAATCCACAAATATATGTGTGTTTAGGCACACACACCCATTAATTTCTTTTCATGGTTACTAAGGAGAGGGTGGTAAAGAGAAAACAGAGAAGGTCTGCCTAGCGGTGCGGAAGCCGAAGATTATAGAAAACTAGGCAAAGGAGAGACTAAGAAAGAGATTGTGGAATGCAGCAGCTGCAAAGTTAGGCTTGTATAGATTTTTATCGGTTAATTTACAAGGAGGACGATTATCTATTGTTTAATTTACAGGGCTTTGGGACTGATTTTTAACGGGCAGGCGGTTCATATAATTCCTTCCAAATTATCATCGGAATCCAACCATACATGCCGGAGGCTGGATTTGCATGAGTTTCAAGTCAGCTGCGGTATGAAATGATTAAGGGCCTAATATCGAAGCCCATTTAACAAATAAAAAGACGTGCCTAGTCTCATGCTTGTTCTAGCCATTTTCTAATTATGGTTGTCTGGGCCCTTTTGTTTAATGTAGGTGTTGAAAACTCGAGTCCAAGTAAGATGTTCTAATGAACAAAGCAGATTATAATCACAAGGTCAACTACAGCTCTTCTTTCAGACAAGGCGACCAAGGCTTCTTAACTATCCCTATTGTTTAGTGAATGATCAATAGGAGAGCTACCAAATTACCAATATACAATAAGAATATACAATAAACAACTAAGTGGGAAATTTATATTTAAAATTTTTGGAAGTATTATGAATCATGATCAATGGGATCCTGGGTCTTGCTCCCTGCCAGAGATGCACGACGCATCTTCTGCAGCAAGATTTGTTCAGACGAATTGACAATTTCCAACATGAAATTGCCCTAGTTTGACTAAATAAAACAAATCCCATGCATCTCTAGCTGCCTCTAGATAATGGCCCTAGTTCTGAATAAATGCTCATCATGACTTGGCCTCCATGGAATTGGACCTTATCCCATCCAAGACTCCATAACAACTCCAGTTTTTTTTTATAAAAAAAAACAGCAGCAGCAGTTTTTCCAACTATTCCTCACGCTAGCTCTGACCCAGACGGCAATTGCATATCCAGATGTTAACAAGGGAAACACACAACTCGATTAGAGTTCCAACTAACCAGATGAACCTACCACAGTAATCAACTAATGCGATGCACGAGTTATTTTCAAGAAATAAGGTTTGCTAGCTAATCACAGGTGAGTTAAGAGCAACGCTTCATCTTCCATTCATAACCGTGAAAAAAGAGAAATGCCAAAAGCGTATGGGATAATTAGTACTGCCTGTATAAGCCGTGTAACCATCAAATCAAAGAGTGATCAATTTCTGTTCTGATACACTCAAACTGGTCTTTACACTTGTGTGCTAACTGCAACGTAGCTTGTGATTGTAAGAAACTCCAGATCAATATTGATGGTATCTCATATTTCATTTAGCAGAACAATCCCACGCCTACAAAATGATAAGAACCAAGAACTCTTGAATCCAATAACACGAGACATAAGAACCATTTAGTCAATATCCCTCTGAAACAATCAGTCATCGTTTTAATTAACTCAACCTTATAATTATTGGCCCGGATAATCTAGCTCGGAATCTTCTCATCCCAAAGCCTTGACACCTTGCTGGCAAGCAACCAAAATATGGTGATTGCTCAACACAAATTGATCCGAACCAAAAGCTACCATCTTCTACCAATCTGTTCAACATCCACAAGCACATCCCTGTCCCGAATCAATGGCAGAGTCACGCTCCTTGGTTTCAGTGTTGGTAGTATAATCCCCTTTTTTTCTGCACTCTCCCTTTTTCTTCGGCTAGACTAAGTGCCTCTGATAACTTGTTAAAGTCAAAGGATGCTTTGTCTGTGTATTCTGAAACATCAAGCGCATTCTTTTAGGTTGTGATCAGATCATGAACTGGGTCCTTTTTCGGATTCTGGCTACGATGTGACAGGTGGCGATGGATCACTTGCTAATCTATATCAAAGAAAATCAATTACAAAAGGATTGAATTGTTAATTAATTAATTAGTTTAAGAGGTAGCAAAAC